ACTTTTGCATTCAGCAAAGCTTCAAAGCAGAGAAAGAGGTTGTTCTTGTTTAGAAATCCAAATTTAGACATCCAAATGTATATCAAAGAATCCAAGTATCTAACCTCAATTTAGGGTGCTGCTGCCACTCCCACTTAAATTCCACAGAAGCTGTGGCATACTCACACTGTTGAAATTAGGCATTTATGTAACTGTCCAAATAGGAATTTTAAGACTAAAAATAAAGGCTTAACCCTGAGATCAGTTTGTTAACTAAACAAAGTCCTCTCTGCCTTGTGGCTTCTTTTTTCCTAAACGATCAAATTACAAGTGTTATCCTCAATCACTCACTCAGGATTCAGGCTTGAGCAAAGGATGTACAAAGCAACTGTTACAGGGACTTGGCAGCAGTGTGCAACAGCAAAATCAGTCCTGCCTTTGCACAGCTGATACAGATTGGAAGTAAATTTTTAAATACCAAGCCATCTTTGGATTCTGCAAAAGAGAGCAAGCACTGGAACTGCCAGGGTCCATGTCCCAGGAAGCCTTTTTGCAAGAGCAGACTGCAGGTGAAGCATCTGGTGTGGTACCCAGGGAACACAAACAGCCTGACCATCTGGAGGAGCTCAGACCCACAAATCAACATCTGGGAGAGCTTACATCTCTGTGAAGAATCAAGTTTTAAAATTTTTTGTGCACCTTGATTTAGCAGAACAATTGAGACTCTACTGGTAATCAGTAGAGAAGGCCAGACACATTCAGCAAGCACGTTGCTCCTTCCCATGAACAGCCCTCTGGGGAGACCCACCAGGAGAGAAGAGGTGAAACCTTCTCTAACTAGTTTGGATTGTACAAGTAATACCTAGTTAAAATTACTGCATGAAAGATCAGCTTACCTATCTATGCAAAAATGAGACCAAGGCTGAAGCCCCATCAAGGATCTTTAGTGAGAACCTGGCTCCACTCTCAGTAACCTTCTCATGTACCATGAAAATCTTGAACACTTTTGCAACACAAACAGTAAAACTTGTTTAATAGCCATGCCAGCTTTCAGACTTTCCCAGCATGCTTGACAAAACTACGAATCAACAAAATAAAACAAGCTAGGGAGTGGCTCTAACTAAATGCCAATTACAGCAAGAAGAAATTCAATCTGGAGGAGCAAATAACAGCCCTTTCATCTTCTCCTCTTCTTTTTTCTTTCTTTTTTTTTTTTTTCCCTGGTGTCTTTATGCTTAAGACTAAAGCTATTAAAATAGCCAATATATATTTAATGCGTGGAATCTCTGCAGTGATATGTACTTGGTAATGCTTGACACAAGGGCCTAGGCTAAGTCTCATCAGCACCAATAATTGTTTACCAGACACAACTATTCCATAGGTGTGAAATGAAAACCTGCACAAGTGACACAGAGAAAAGGACCACTGTCCTGGGGTATCAGAAGGCAGAAGCACCACTGTGAAATTACTCTGGCAGATACTGGCACAGCTAATAACATGATCCTTTCAATCATACACATTGGAGTCTTCATGGCATCTGTAATTTGCTAAAACTCCCAATCTGTCACTTCATTCTGAGGAAATGAGGAGAAAGCAAGCTTGTACTCTGCCTGCCTGCACATACCTTGGCTCAGCAGCGTTTTTCACATCTTTTCCAGCATTTCTGCTAAAATATCAGGCAGGTATTAGCAGGCAAGCAAGAATGAGAGTAATTTCTGTTGCTCACACACATCAGGGGACAGCAGCACAGACATGCCAGGGAAAATAGCTTTTGTGAGATTCCACACCAACACCTTCAGAAATACAGCAATTGTGATTCAGGTGCAAAGGTAAACCACTGGAACCATTTAAATGAACCCTGCATTGCTGAAATGCCAATTGTGTGAAACTGCTGATATTTCATTTTGATAAATATACTGCATCTGGTGTTTATGGCTTTGTGCTGTTGCCAGAGAGCTTTGGTCTGGGAGCCAGGCCAGTGTCTACCAAGTTAGTTGGACTGCTGTGGACACATAAAGATTCAATATTTCCCTGATTTAAAGCTTTCAGGCAGATTTTTCACAGACTTTTGTTTTATTTATAGCTAGCACGTGTGGAGAGAAATAAAACTGTCATTTACAATGCTGTGCCACTGTGAGCCTATTTCTTCCAGTTTCATACTTCAGTGCCTTATTTTGAAGCACAGAGATTCGGAAATTTGGTTATTTCTACATAAACATTAATTTGTGGATAGACAGAGGTTCAGTAAGGGAGTGCCTCTTCATTAAGAAAGGAAAAGGCCAGATAGTTTTGTCAGAAAAGCAGGAAACTTAATCCTATTTATGCAGATGGTCATTGTCTCTGTTACAGCCATGTAACAGTTAAGTGTTTTTCCTTCTCCCACTCCTTATGGCACAAATTCCTGTCCTTCTGTTACAGAAAGCTCTGATGTGCAGTGGACATGCCCCTCCTGTTCTGACCCTTCAAGTTTTAAGGTTTTCTTCTGCTTCAAGGGATGCTCCCCGTCCCTCCCTACAGAAAATCAAAAGAATCCTGATCATTAAATTGCTAAAAGATAAAAATCTGAAAATAAAAGGCTGTAGTCTAACAAAAATCAAACAAAACTAGTAAAAACAAAGAGTTTCTCTTCAGGGAATATTTTAAGTGTCTGCACAGACAAAAGTATTAAACAAAAGCGTGCACAACTTTATTTTGTGGGCACATGCAGGATGCTGGGCCATCTGTTGAAAATGGAAGGCTGCCAAATATCACAGAGTCACACCTTGAGTCTGGAAGCTGAGCCTACATGGCAAATCCATACATTCCTTGTGGTGTCTGCATGCCATCAGCCTTTCCTTTACCTACTCCTCAGTTTTACACTTTCCTGGCTGCTAAGCTGGATTGCTTCAGTTTTTACACGGGCAGAGCCCAATTCTGCAGAATAGCATTGGCTGCTGCAGAGCTGCTGGCAGGATACCTGGCTGCATGCTTGGAGGTTTTCAGGATTGGGCAACATAAGACAAGCAGTATTTGGAAGATCAGGGTCCCCACTCAAAGCCACTGGCATCAGGAAATGGCAAAACATTGTGTAGTTCAAGAAAAATTCTTCCATCTTTCCTTTCAAAAAAGTAATCAAAAGGAAAATCCTTAAAGGCAGAACTTTTACATGCCACCAACTTATACCATGATATAAACCTTGAGACTTCCATGAATATCAAAACTCTGCCATACTTTTAATTCATATAAGCCTGTTTCTTGTGTCTAAGTAGTTGAGAGTATGGGATGAGAGTTTCCCTAACTTGAAGAATGGGTAATCAGGTCAGGATGAAGGCAACAACAGTAAAATAAAAATTCTGGCAATCTCATTGAAAATCTCATACAGATTCCTCACCTTGCCCCTGTCTATAGCAGAGGACTTTATGAAGATCTTGGCTAAACAGTGAAAAAGTCATCATTATAATTGTTGAGCCCAAAAGGAAATAATTTCCAGCACCTACTGGCAATTGGCAAGATAACTGATACAGACTGCACTTTTTAGAGTTCAGAAACCTATCCAACATTAATGCTGGCTTTCATAAAGTTTCCTCAAATATAAAAATGATCCTTAAACTCTTCTATAATTTCAGTTTTTTAATGCAGATTCCTGCTGGCATACCCATGTTTGGAGAAATCCTTTGGAAAGTATCTGTTGTCAATACCACACCATTCATCAGCTCAAAAGCCAAATAGATTTCTCAGAACTCCTGCTTGTTCAGCCATCTTTCTCTGTAGTCCTCCCAGTGGGATAGAATGAAATTAAATTCAAACTAGGCTTTAAATTATTTAGTTGGAGATAATTGAGTTTGGAAAGTCATACTGGAGCATGATCATGCTGGAAAGAAGCTGAACAAGATTTGAGGTGGGGGAGCAGGAGGAGTGAGCTGGCAAGCCTGGCCAGTGAAGGTGTCCCTGCCCAGGGCAGGGGGCTTGGAACACTGTGGTCTTTAAGTTCCCTTCCTAACTGAACCATCCTATAATTCTACATCACATTAGGTGCAGAAATTTTCTCATAGTAATAGGCACAAGCTCCTTTCATTCTGGTGGCACAGAAAATAATTTCTTGCACATCTAAGGACGGCATCCTTTTCTTTCTCGAAGGAATCAGGCCCTAAGGTGATCAAAAATCCTAGCGAGCAAATCACCTCATTTCTAGGGGACCTATATTTTCCAAATAAAAAAGGCACAAGAAGAAGGTGAGTTTACATTATTAACTTATCGTGATTCCAGGAAACCTCCAGTAAGGGACAAAGCTGACTCGGTTAGAATGGCTGTGTTGTTCTCACCACAGCCTTTAACTTCAGAGTAGCACACACAGATTTCCTTGAGGAAAAGGTATTTTTTGGCTCAGTTACACCTGCATCTCTCGTGAAATGAGGCATTCATATCCATTTTAAGTGGCAACACAGAATGTTCACCATTCTTTCACTCCCCCCTCTCTCCGGCCGCCATCGAGGACCACCATTCTCCCGCATTTATCTAGACGGAAGCAGAGCGCTTCTACAGCAGCTTTCCTCGGGCTAACATTCGGGTTACCTTCTCAGAAAACCACACCCCGCCTTTGCAGAGCTGCAGGAAAAAAAAAAAAAAAAAAAAAAAAAAAAAAAAATCCGCTCTGACCGCTGCGGAAAGAAGCAAAGCGATGTGGGAACTGAAAAAAAAAAAAAAAAAAAACCAAACAAACTAAAACGCCGCCCCGGTGCCGCTGTGGCCGCCCAGCTGGCTCCGGGTCCGCACAGCCGCGCCCCGCCGA